ACTATAGACTAGACTATAGACTAGACTACAGACTAGACTATAGACTAAACTATAGACTAGACTAATGACTAGACTAGACTATAGACTAGACTAAAGACTAGACTATAAACTAGACTATAGACTAGACTATAGACTAGACTATAGACTAGACTATAGACTAGACTATAGACTAGACTATAGACTAGACTATAGACTAGACTATAGGCTAGTCTATAGACTAGACTATAGGCTAGTCTATAGACTAGACTATAGACTAGACTATATACTAGACTATAGACTAGGTTATAGACTAGACTATAGACTAGACTATAGACTAGACTATAGACTAGACTATAGACTAGACTAGACTACAGACTAGACTATAGACTAAACTATAGACTAGACTAATGACTAGACTAGACTATAGACTAGACTAAAGACTAGACTATAAACTAGACTATAGACTAGACTATAGACTAGACTATAGACTAGACTATAGACTAGACTATAGGCTAGTCTATAGACTAGACTATAGGCTAGTCTATAGACTAGACTATAGACTAGACTAGACTTTATACTAGATTATAGACTAGGTTATAGACTAGACTATAGACTAGACTATAGACTAGACTATAGACTAGACTATAGACTAGACTATAGACTAGACTATAGACTAGACTATAGACTAGACTATAGACTAGACTGTAAAATAGACTAAAATAATATACAGCTGTTTGATTCATTATATGTCAAACTTTTTTAAGGCTTGAAGCTAGTTTTTTTATTAAAATTTCTTAACTTCTACTAAATTAAATCACATATTCAAGCTTTCAAATTAAAATGCCTGAAATTTCATACTCGTGAAATCTTAATTAACTGCTCACGTCGTCTACACACGTCAGTACATTTTGTAAACTCCATAGAGGAAAACAATATTTTACCTCTAAACTTAAAATCTTTGAAAAAGTTTTTTTCTTCTACCAACCCAAAACCTGTATGCTTGATTGCTTACAAATGGGGCGTGCTTTTTTAACAAAACTTTTTCTTTTAAGGCAAAAATGTAAAAGAAGAAAAAAAATCCTAAAAAACAGATCTGCTTCATTTGTGTTGCAAAAGTTGATTTCGAACAATAATCAATGCACTCTGTGGCATGATTTACATTTGTAGATCCTTTTTTTTTTGGTTTTATTTTGGAGTTGCAAATCTTTGTCTGCAGACATTTTAGCTACGCGTGCTTAATTTAAATGCGTACCCTCGATATGTTCACATTTTAAACATGCAGAGTGTTGGAATATGTAAATTCTGTTTTTTTTAACAAGAAAACTAAAATTATTTTATAGAAATAAACTACATGAAGTTATGTTTGAAGTTATAGCAAAAAAAAAAAAACAACTTAAATTAATGGTTTGTAGTAAACATACAGATTTTTGTGTTTTTTTATCCAACATAGTTTTGAAAGGAAAAATATGACTCATTCTTCGCGGAATTTACAAATCCAAAAGCTTTCAAATCTGTTGTCTAAGTAGCTTTCAAAACTGTTGTCTAAAGTTACAATAAGTTGATGAAAATGTTCGATGAAACTAAACAACTAGTTTGAAACAAAACTATGACTAAAGCACAGATATTTTTGACGTTGAAATTTGATTAAACTATAGTCTACTCTACAATATAATCTACAGTCTAATCTAAAGTCTAGTCAATCATCTAGTCTATAGTCTAGTGATCCTGATTTCTATAGAAAAGTGATCTTGACAAGATCAAGAACTTTTCTATAGAAAAGTGATCTTGACAAGATCAAGAACTTTTCTATAGAAAAGTGATCTTGACAAGATCAAGAACTTTTCTATAGAAAAGTGATCTTGACAAGATCAAGAACTTTTCTATAGAAAAGTGATCTTGACAAGATCAAGAACTTTTCTATAGGAAAGTGATCTTGACAAGATCAACAACATTTCTATAGAAATGTGAATATGACAAGATCAAGAACTTTTCTATAGAAAAGTGATCTTGACAAGATCAAGGACATTTCTATAGAAAAGTCAACGTGACAAAATCAAAAACTTTTCTATAGAAAAGTGATCTTGACAAGATCAAGAACTTTTCTATAGAAAAGTGATCTTGACAAGATCACGAACTTTTCTATAGAAAATGATCTTATTAAGATCAAAAACTTTTCTATAGAAAAGTGATCTTGTTAAGATCAAAAACTTTTCTATAGAAAAGTGATCTTGTTAAAATCAAAAACTTTGCTATAAAAAAGTGATCTTGACAAGATCAAGAACTTTTCTGTAGAAAAGTGATCTTGTCAATATCAAAAACTTTTCTATAGAAGAGTGATCTTGACAAAATCAAGAACTTTTCTATAGAAAAGTAATCTTGTCAATATCAAAAACTTTTCTATAGAAGAGTGATCTTGACAAAATCAAGAATTTTTCTATAGAAAAGTGATCTTGACAAGATCAAGAACTTTTCTATAGAAAAGTGATCTTGACAAGATCAAGAACTTTTCTATCGAAAAGTGATCTTGACAAGATCAAGAACTTTTCTATATAAAAGTGATCTTGTTAAGATCAAAAACTGTAAAGAAGAGTGATCTTGACAAGATCAAGAACTTTTCTATAAAAAAGTGATCTTGACAAGATCAAGAACTTTTCTATAAAAAATTGATCTTGACAAGATCAAGAACTTTTCTATAGAAAAGTGATCTTGACAAGATCAAGAAGATTTCTATAGAAAAGTGATCTTGACAAGATCAAAAACTTTTCTATAGAAAAGTGATCTTGACAAGATCAAGAACTTTTCTATAGAAAAGTGATCTTGACAAGATCAAGAACATTTCTATAGAAAGGTGATCAAGAACTTTTCTATAGAAAAGTGATTTTGACAAGATCAAGAACTTATCTATAAAAAAGTGATCGTGTCAAAATCAAAAACTTTTCTATAGAAAAGTGATCTTTACAAGGTATATAGTCTAGTCTATAGTTTTATCCAAGTCAAGTCTATAGTCTCTTCTATAATCTAGTGTTTAGTCGAATCTTTAGTCTAGTATATAGGCTACTATATAGTCTATAGCATTGTCTATAGCCCAGTCTATTATCTAGTCCATAGTCTTACCTGTAGTCGAGTCTATGGTTCTATCTATAGTCTAGTCTATAATCTTGTCCATAGCCCAGATTATAGTATATTTTATGTCTATAGTCTGGTCCATAGTTCAGTCTATAGTCTAGTCTGTAATTCAGTTTATGTCTAGTCTGTAATCTGGTCTATAGTCTAGTCTATGATCTGGTCTATAGTCCATAGACTAGTCTGTAGTGTAGTTTATCATGTAGTCTATAGTCCGCTTTATAGTGTAGTCTATAGTCTAAACTAAGGTCTAATCTATAGTCCAGTCTTTAATCTAGTCTTAAATTTGTCTGTAATATTCTATTGTTTAAAACTGGTTTAAAGCTTAATAACAAGTTTGAAATGTATTTGTTGTGTTACAAAGGAATTTTTCTTTCAAACCCCCCCCCTTAAAACAATTGATCCTTAATCTTTATCTTATACAAACATTAACTGAAAAAAAACCATCTAAATTATTTATGATCTAGTTCTAGCAAAAACCAACAGGTTGTTGTTTTATTATCAAATAGAAACTCAAAGTCTTAAAGTAAATCTTTTAGAGAAATAAACTACATAGGAATGACCAAACGACGAAAAAAAAACATAACTTTTTGTGGACACATGCTGTGCCACTGAATGTTGCAAAAAATTCCTCTATTTGAGACGATAGTGTGTGTGTGGCAACTATACTTTAATAATAGAAGATTTGAAAAATCTTTTTACTTTTATTTATTTACAATCAAACCGAAATAAATATAATGTTGTGGAGCCTTCTTTTTTTGTTATTTATTGATGGCAAATATAAAATTTAAACCACGAAAAAGAAACCACTTGTGAATGCCAAGAAACACAGATGGAAGGACGGACGTTGGGATGGATGGACAGACACAAATAGTTTTGTAAACTAGAAATTTAACGATCGTCAATATCATCTGTATGTTATCCTTGATAAATCTAGTAATAAATTTTCTTTAACATAAAAAGAAATAAATTCAAAACTATTTTTATGATACAGGATTTTCAAGCGCAAAACTTGCAAAGAAATCTCGGACAAGTTAAATAAATGGGGGGGATTAAAAATGTTGGCTAACAGCAACTTAAAGAAGGCACTACATTAAATTGTATATAAAATATTAAATTTCTTAATGTTTGACTCTATTTTTTTCAAAGTGAATAAGGTTTGAAGCTAGTTTGAGTTCAAACTAGCATCAAACTTATTCCAACCGGAAAAATTCTCTTATTCTGATTTCTAGTTTGATGAATTTGATGGTAGTTTGATATCAAACTGTCATCAAACGCCTTCAAACCTATAAAATTCTTCTAGTTTGATGTCAAACTAGTATCAAACTTGTTCAAACCTGAAAAATTCTCGCTCTCTGACTCCTTGTCCATCTAATTTGATGACAGTTTGATATCAATTTAGCATCAAATGTCCTCAAACCTGACAAATTCTTGCTGCTTGACTCCTCGTTGTTGGAAATTCATGGTGTTTGAAGGTAGTTTGATTTCAAACTAGCTTCAAACTGAACTAAAATCCAACTCGTAAACGACCTTTTTAGTATTCCTGCCGACTTTTTCTACTTCTAAAAATGTCGGTTATTTCTCTTCCTTTTTTTGTGAACTTTTTTCCATTATTTATTTATTTTTTCCTATAATGACAACTTGTGCTTTATATTTGATTTATGGCTTAAATATAGAATTTGTAGCTTTTGAAAGATGCGATTTTTGTATGTAGTTTTTTATCCTTTTTCCACAAAACCAGCTCTAGTTTCTTTTTTTTTTTTACATTAAACCTACATTGACAGATGTTGCCTTTAGTATCTTTTCCAATTTTTTTTTTACAATAAATTAAAACACCAATAAAACATTATAATGAAATTCCATTTTTTCCTTCTTTTTTTTTTTTGATCTCATTGCAGACACCAACCAACAAATAAAAATCTTTAAATTCAAACAAACAGACAAAAAAGAAATATCTACAAACATGTTGTCATTGACATTGTTGAGAAACACCTGCTCATCATCATCATCGCGATCAGTATTACCAACAGCATCAACATCATCATCATCATCATTTTGCTGTTCTTCATCATCATGTTCTTTTTTTAAATCTGTGATTTTCGTACTTGTTATATTAATAAGTGCCCGCGGTTTGCAGCCCTCAATATTGGGTGTTTATTTTGAACGTTCACCCGAATCGGCTGTTGCTCCCAAGGGTGATGAGGTGGTGTTTGAATGTGAGGTGAATTTGGCTCCCGATCGTTTAGAGTGGAAATTTCGTCATTCTAGTAATCGTTCTGGTGATGGGAGTAAATATAAATATCTGTCAAAGGAGGTAAGTTGCATCGGCTCTTTTAAGTTCTCTATCTTCACGTATAACTCATTTTGATTATTTGTTGTAATAGATTAGACTATAATTGATCATAGATTAGTCTATATTCTTGTCTATCAGTCTATAGTCTTGACTGTAGATCACTCTATACCCTAGACTTCAGATCAGTTTATAGTACTACTTTTAAGTATCGACTAGTCTATTGTCTTGACTACAGATCAATCTATAATCTATTAATCTATAGTGTTGACTATTTATCAGTCTATAATATTGACTATAGACGGATCTATAATCTTGACTATAGACAGATCTATAGTCAAGACTATAGACAGATCTATAGTCAAGACTATAGAGAGATCTATAGTCAAGACTATAGAGAGATCTATAGTCAAGACTATAGACAGATCTATAGTCAAGACTTTAGACAAATCTGAAGTCAAGACTATAGACAGATCTATAGTCAAGACTATAGACAGATCTGTAATCAAGACTATAGATAGATCTATAGTCAAGACTATAGACAGATCTATAGTCAAGACTATAGACAGATCAATAGTTAAGACTATAAACAGATCTATTGTAAAGACTATAGACAGATCTATAGTCAAGACTATAGACAGATCTATAGTAAAGACTGCAGACAGATCTATAGTCAGAACAGATCTATAGTCAAGACTATAGACAGATCTATTGTCAAGACTATAAAACAGATCTATAGTCTTGACTTTGGACAGATCTATAGTAAAGACTGCAGACAGATCTATAGTCAAGACTATAGATAGATCTATAGTCAAGACTATAGACAGATCTGTAATCAAGACTATAGACAGATCTATAGTCAAGACTATAGACAGATCTATAGTCAAGACTATAGACAGATCTATAGTCAAGACTATAGACAGATCTATAGTCAAGACTATAGACAGATCTGAAGTCAAGACTATAGACAGATCTATAGTCAAGACTATAGACAGAGCTATAGTCAAGACTATAGACAGATCTATAGTCAAGACTATAGATAGATCTATAGTCAAGACTATAGACAGATCTGTAATCAAGACTATAGATAGATCTATAGTCAAGACTATAGACAGATCTATAGTCAAGACTATAGGCAGATCAATAGTTAAGACTATAAACAGATCTATTGTAAAGACTATAGACAGATCTATAGTCAAGACTATAGGCAGATCTATAGTCAAGACTGTAGACAGATCTATAGTCAAACTATAGACAGATCTATAGTCAAACTATAGACAGATCTATAGTGAAGACTATAGACAGATCTATAGTCAATACTATCTATATATATATCTATCTATCTATCTATCTATCTATCTATCTATCTATCTATCTATCTATCTATCTATCTATCTATCTATATCTATATCTATATATCTATATATCTATCTATCTATCTATCTATCTATCTATCTATCTCTATCTATCTATCTATCTATCTATCTTCTATCTATCTATCTATCTATCTATCTATCTATCTATCTATCTATCTATCTATCTATCTATCTATCTATCTATCTATCTATCTATCTATCTATCTATCTATCTATCTATCTATCTATCTATCTATCTATCTATCTATCTATCTATCTATCTATCTATCTATCTATCTATCTATCTATCTATCTATCTATCTATCTATCTATCTATCTATCTATCTATCTATCTATCTATCTATCTATCTATCTATCTATCTATCTATCTATCTACCTATCTATCTATTCAAACGTATCCAAATTTATCTCTAAATTCTCTCTTTCCAGAACGGCTATAATATCACCAAAGAAGATCGTGTCTCCATGCTGCGTATATTTGTGCAACCTGAATCTCTGGGCGATTATCAGTGTGTGGCTTGGTATGGTTCGGCTGCCATAGCTTCGTTATCGGCACGCCTCACTCTAGTCTCCATATCCATAGATAATTCTAATGGTTATTCTCGTAATTCCAAAATATATAATGTGGCTCCTAAGAATTGCGTGTTACTACGATGTGGCACGGTAACCTCCAATCCCCCAGCCATATGGAGTTTTTATCGTAATGGCGAGAAGTTGCCACAAACCGAAATC